GACTTAATCATCATTCAAATTGAAACATTTGTTCTCATTAAGAACATGTCTGAAATTTCAGCCAATTCTTGCCGATCCCTACTGTACATAAATACGTACATGCATACATGTATATATTTTTTAAAAATAATTTAAGCTTTATCAATTTCGTTAATATATTTTTGCGACATTGCGATATTTCGCATTTCTGCTAAGAGTAAACAATTACCGCTAATCTTAATACAGCTTCGGATTACGATGCTTAATCGATGTACAAAATCCGCTTCCTTCGTGTTTTCTGCAAATACGTCGTAATTACCAATTACAAGTAGAGCGACTAATTACGAGTAATTACGAGAAAACGCCATGACCGTAGCGATGGGTTGTTCTTCTAATTAGATATCGGAGCAGGCGTCGCGACGCCCGTTGTCGCGTTTCTGGCACCATCGCGCCAGTCGATTCGTCCCGTGCGATTCCCACCGATTGCTAATTAATTGGCGTACTAATTACGGTGACGTGACTTCGACACTCGCTTCGCTGTTCACCATAGAAAATACCACAGTCTCTCTCTCTCTCTCTCTCTCCCCCTCTCTCTCAATACATTATGCGCATCCATGCATCTCGATGGCGATATTTCGCGGCCTTCCGCAAATTTTATCCAATTCCGATAATGGATTACGCGTAAAGGGCATATACTTAAAGTTTTTAAAGTAGTGTCGGACGGTATTTATAAAGTAGCAAGTTTTGAAATTATGCTTTACAACGTTATCGATTTTAATCCAAGAGACTACACATTTTTTAAAATATCGTGTGTGAAGAAAATGTCTTTTCTTCATACTGCAATATGTAATCTGCATTTATATAATGAATGTATTTATGGTGGATTTCTTTCAATCTCGGGGCAGATAGTTTATAAATAATATTTTTAAAATTTTCGAATGCAACGTCTCAAGTGAACGTGTACAAGCTAATTGCCTCGAGGTTATCGCATATATAGTTTATAGTTTACAGTTTAATTGCTTCGACTACAGAAATGAAATTGTCCTTCGAACTTGATATCAAGCGCGCGAGAACCCGCTTAAAGAATTTACTCCTCTCTTCCTTCCTTCCTTCCTTCCTTCCTGTTCCTTCTCATCCTGCGAAGGATACAGCGATATAGCGCTTGTCTTAAGCGTCGACTCGATGCGATTTAATAAAATCAAGTTTCATATTACAACGCCTTAATAATTATTAATTTCCATCTCTTTATTTCCTCAAAATTAATATTTTACAAAAATTATTTATGAGTAAAACTGATGATGGTCTCGTTTATCAATAAAACTTAGAAACTTGGAAACTTGTATTATACAATGAAAAATGTGTATGAATCGATGACTGACTTTTATATTCCGATACGATTTTGAATCGCAAACTCTTTGCTAGTTTGTTTTTTATTAGAAAGATGAAACGCGCGCAAGTCAAAGTAATTTGTTCGTCAAGTGGATAACAAGAGACAAATATTATTATCAACCCGACGTGCACATATATATATATATATATCTCAGTCGAGTAAATTGAAAAATAAAACCAATAATCGATCAAATATCATTTGATTTGTAAGAGAAAAATCTCACAAAACGCAACTGGCGCTTGAAGGAAAAACTGTTTACACACATGTTTTTCGTTATTTTATTTATTTCATATTTTTTCCCTACAATAACGATGCTTGTTTCGATAATCTAGATTTCCCGTTAATAACTAACAATTTGAGAGCTTCTCGCGGATGTATGCAATTGCAAATATTCAGTTGCAGCAACGTTGCGATGTTTGAACAGCGAAAGCGCAAAAATAGAAAAACACGAAATGTGATGCGACAATACATGATGCTCGATACTTAATGATTCCTTTTGCAATTTTTTACTAAAATGGAAAAATCACTAGATTATATGCGCGAAAAAAATTGTTTGCCACTTTGTATAACAGATTTTATTACTTATTATATGGATAATATAAAGACATCTTAATCAATAACGAGCTTTTTTTTTAGACAACTCTTTGATTAAAAATATCGATGGATAGAATAGAAATTTCCATGCAATTATTGTGCTTTAAGTTGACATTTTTTTTCAAATAGCGAAACAATTATTAATTACGAAAATTATTAGATTTAATCTGTACTGTGAAAGTTATATATTAAATATTTATATTATTTTGTTTTTCATACAACTCGATATCTCCAAAATTGACTAAATATCTACTTTATATCCACCTATCAATGTGTTCCTTGACATTTCCCGTCATATGATCTTCACAGATGCTATTAAGCGTCAGAGCAAATGGAAGTTATACAACTGTGTTAATTAATATGCCTGAAACAGCTTTGTGCGATTGGAGATTCCCAACTAATGAGCAAGCTCTCGAATTTCATCAAGCGTATCTCCTCGTATACAATGATATTTTCCGTGAATCGCTCGCAACATCTGGATGTTTTAGGAAATAGTACTTGATTCTTTTTATCATCATATTTAATTAAAAGCAAAAAAATTAATCTCTTTTCAACATAACATAATAATACGTCTTTCCTTTTTAGTATTACAATTCACTTTACATTTTAACAATGTCCTTAAAAGTATTCAAAAAATAAAGAAAAGTGTATTTCCTTTCCTTTCTTTCTCCGCAAAAATGATAAAAGATTATAGGAGATAGAGAGAAATGTAATATATATAAAAAATTATTAATTACTGTGAGTGTGTGGATGTGTGCATCGCTGGCTTTTCTTAGTTAAATTATCTTAATTAAATTTATTTTTTTTTTAATATAGGTCTAGACTTTTTTTATAAATGTTGAATTTAAAAGAGCCCACACGCACAGCATAATTAAATATTAGAAGAGGAAAAATTATACATTTCATTAAGCGGAAAGAAGAAATATGTATATATTTTGAACAAACCCATGACGCTCGTAGATTGTAAGTTTTACGTGAAAAATGGAAAATTTTTTACGATGCAAATAAATGTCGGTTCGTATATTGGTACTTGTCCGGCAAATGGTCTTGAAAAATTGAGAGCTTCCCACAGTACAACGATTTGCATGTCGGAGATTGTAAGTTACCGCTGTGCAATCGTCGCCGCGTGGCGGTTTGTGCCGCGCAGTTTCACGGTTGTAATCGAAATGGTTGCACCTTGGGGAACCGTGCGGTTTTCGCCGCGCGCTGTTTGTACGATCTTCCGCGGGGGCGTATTATGCATCCAAAAACCACAGACGACGAACTTCGGACCCGGTCATGATTAAACCAGTATTAAATCCCGAATTCTGGAAAGTGGGATATGGTATGGTTGGAGTATATACGCGTAGCAACAAACTTGGGCTATGAACTCTATTATCAAATGTATTTGCGATCTGTCAGAGGAGCATTCTTCTCAAAATAGTTTCCAATACATCAGCGATCGCTATTAACGAATTGGCAATAGCTATCGCGCGAGTGACAGTTTTAAAGATATTTTTCTTATTTAAAAAAAAAATCGAAAAGTTGGTTAATCTCAAATCGATTAAAGCCGCGATATTTTTAAAAAAAGCGCTGTTTATTAAATAAAAAAAGTCTCAATTAATTCGTAATCTTTCGAAACCACTATTTTTATCATTGATATTCAATATCAAAAATTGCATTAAATTCGCTTGAAGATCACTTTAAATTTGCATATTGTCTATTCTTTAATAGCCGAGAAAATGTATTATCCTCGAGCAAATTTTTCGCGGTAATAGATGATAAGCTGGAATTTATCCATAGAGTTTTGCTCGTTGCGATCGATCAGCGAACGCGCTAATTCTGATGGGAATAATTTCAACTAGTAAATCCGAGCGTAATAAAAACTGTGAAATTTACGAATGACACACGACAAGCACACGTTTCAGCGTAAAATCGTTAATCGGAACTTTTCAAATCCATTTCCGCAATCGTGCTTAAATATCGAGTTGAATGTCAAATTAATTTAAAAATAAACGGTAGCTATTTAAATTTTTGGTAAAGGAAAATTTTTAATATTTATTTAAAAAAATGTATGACTTTTTATACATTTTGTATTTATTTAGATGTTTACCGTTGTTTTTTCAGAGAATTTTAATTATCATATGTTGAAATGTTGAGTTTCTAATTCCTAAATTATTTACATTTACAGTTAATTCCGTTTACAATTAGGCATTATCTCGAGCCGATTAGGCGTATCGTGCTATGTGGCAAGAGTTTTTAGCCATTCTCACACAGCTGTCTTGTCGGTTTCATAACTTTCTTTCTCTTTGCCATGATATCCTCATATGAAACACGTTAGATAACAATTTTTGTCTTTCCTCTCTTTTCTTTGTTTTTTGTGTCCCACGTATTCTCATTTTCGTGGAAAAATTCATGTTATACTCAATATACAGTTTCGGGTTGCTCACTCTTTTTAATTCGTCACTTACACGATGACAAAATATTAATTAAAAACAGATATTCTTTGAATTCACAAAGTTTCATAAAATTCATTATTATTTCGTTCAAATATTAATAGATCTAAAATAGATGATAAATCTAACCGCAGACAGCTCGCACGACGACATTTCGTGACGGTTTAAAACCCATTAGGATCAGGATAGATTAAGAGGAAGTGACCAGAGTCCATTTAGCGTGTGTATAATCGATTGCTGACTACTCGAATGACCGCCAGTGGAAATTGACTTACCGACAGCTCTTTCCGCACCTCTCTCCTTTCTTGCGATCTGTTATTACATGTGAGCGTATAATAAAAGTAAGATAAAAATTAAAAATAAAAAACGCGCAGTTTTATACAACATGTCTTTTATACGCTCGTATTCCGTATCGGAATACGACTATATCGTTATATTTTCATCAAGTTTTTTTCGATTTGGAATACGAAACATAAATTTAATAAAACAAACAAATTTTTTCTAAAATATAAATTTGTAAAGGTTTCGGTGCATAATTTATTTAAGAGTCTCTCTCAGTTATATAATATAAACATATATATTTCTATACAATTTTAATAGGGTGCGCGCGTGCGCGCGCGTATATGTGTGTAGCATAATACATACATTTTGTACAATTGTAGAAATACATGTATTTATCTATCGCAACAATTAACACATTTAATAAAAACTACATTTCGACGATTAATGTTACATTCTAAACATGTTCGATTAATTGTTAATTAACAAAAATTGGCTTGCGAAATTCTCGAGCTTACGCGGAAAACGAGAGGAACACGAAAGGAGCGTAAAGGACGAGATGTGGAAGAGAGGAGTCGATTAATATCTTTGGAACTCTACTAACAAATTGCAGAAACAAGCTCGAATTACTATCGAACAACGATTTTACCCAAACTTTTTAAGCTAACCTAATCGTTATCGAAAGCTAGAACATCGAGAGAATTCGTAGATTTATTCACCACTAAACAAAGGCTAAAGAGATTTGTTAAACATTCTCATTTGATAATAAGAGTCTGCAGCAAATATATCTAAAATATAATACAAAATAATCCATTACATAAATCTATCGATGAAGACAGAATGCAATGAAACAAATAGCTGATGAAAATGACCACTTTGCGCAAATGTCTCTCTCTCTCTCTCTCTCTCTCTCTCTCTCTCTCTCTCTCTCTCATCTCGGCTCTGAAAAACATACTTTTTAAATAAAGGTATATCTCGACGTACAATCGAATTCATCGCATGTCATTTCGTTCTGTAAAAACATGTACTCATGTTTTATATTTTAATATTCTTGCAAACAATTTTGTATATAATTTTTAATCCGCGATTGAAAATTTAGATTGCACCTAATTTCATTAAAGTTTTAAAGAGTTATTTCGATATAATATATACATTAAAAAAAAATTATTAAACTTATCGAGCCAAGTGTATTTTCATTTTATGCGCTAATAATAAATGTAATAAATATATTATTTACGGCATTGTATACGTGCGACACACATGCGCGATCGTGCGCGTGCATCTATTTTTCTTACATGTAATAAAAAAGGGAAACTTGTAAAATATCCTCTTCCTCTTTGCAAAAATGGCAAATGTTTCAAAATTTTCCGCTATTATTTTAATCGCGCGAAAAGAATAACGTTACGCGAGAATATGTTAATGTGAAGATTGAGGTTTCCTTGGTAGCATCTTAAAGAGCTCTAGCTGAAGAGTCTGTGGAATGTCGAGGAGAAAGGCCTGCGAATCATACGTCAGACATTTTTTGATGATCCCCAATGATAATTGTTGCAGCGTTAATATCGGTAGCACGATGTACACGTCGGTCCTCTCGATTCTTCGCGGCAGCTCGCTTGGCCTGACGCCAGAATATTTGACGAACCATGGCTCAGGAAAGAAAACGTCGCGCTGCTTCACCAAATACCTGTTTCGTTTTGTCTTAGGCATAATTAATCCGCCTATCGGAAATTAAGGTTTTTCAAAGAAACAAATTACTTTGTAATTTGTAAAAAAGCTTAGCGGAGGGAGAGTTTTCCATCGAGCTTTTAATTAACTCTCTTATTATAATCTTGTTTCAGAAAAAGTCCAATATCATAAAAAGTTGAGCTTTGTTGAGAAAAAAATGCGTTTGTGTGTGCGCGCAATTACTCGTAAAATTATTGAACTAATTTAAGGGAAACGTTATACATCTCTGCTCCCTAGCATTTTAATAATCAAATTGAGAGGGAGACAAAGTTTGCGTCATTTTTGCGCTGACATTTTTTATGCTCATTGACACTTTTGCAAATCGTAATTATTTAGAAATTTATTATTGCCGAAAATATATTATATTGTCATTGACATGTAGCAAAAAGGACAATTATTCGTTATGCCTACCTGATTCTCGTTTCCTTATTGACAAAGATCCACGGATGGGTATGAAACGTGTTGATTTCCCTGTAGTCTCCAGGTGACAAATCGCCATAACTAACCGCCTGTCCTTGATAATCCATCCAGTACAGGGTAACGCAGTGGGGCGTTGTGTTAATAAACCTGACAAAGGATTCGTGTCGACTGTTGAGCGATCGGAATATCGGTCTTCTGAGCTGTTGATTTTCATCCATTTTGAATTTACTTCCTTCGTCCGCTCCTATTTATTTCCGTAATGGATATTCTTTAATGGAGTCTTTACTAATCTTTCTTTCTTTCTGCCTTTGCCGAGAACTGAAATTATAGATTATGAAAGAGAGTTAATTAAACGACGATATACAATATTATACATATGTTGGAGCTTGATAAAAGATTAAACCATTTTATCTAAATCTTATTTTTTTCTTTTGAAATAACAATTCGCTCTTGTATTTCTTTAGCTTTTATTTTACTCAAGTTTTACATTAATCGTGTAATACAATTGAAAATTAAACTTTCAATTCGGCAAATAAAATTTTTCTTAATTGTTTCATTCCATTTTTCGTTATGAAAAAAGAATCAAGAAGAATGGCATCAATGACCAATAATCTCCTTAGATTTGCCTTTCGACACAACAATTTCTACAAACCAAATTTTGGATCCCCGGGACGAAAAGCACGAAAATCCGGTTTGCCACGGGTAAACAAGCCTATCTATGAAAATCGATTTATCAAGGACGGATGCATCGCTTGAATTTGAGAAACGAGAGGAAAAGGTGGAAAATATATAGCGGAAAATCGATCGTGTGTCGCGAGAAATCACGCAATCCCAATTTGATTGAGATATTCGCAATAAATAATGGCTCTAAAAAACGTCTAATAAAATTAATTGTAAATAAGAAATGTGATAATTAGTGATAAACGTTAATTAATAACAAGTATTGTATATCAGATAGGACACAAAAATAAATAAGTTTTTTATCCCCTATCAAGGAGCCGAATAAGTAAGTTTCATTATTTAGAAGATTATTGTCGTACAGGTTTTCGTATTGTCTTTCATCTCAACAGGAAACAAATTCTTAATAATAATAATAATAATAATAATAACGAAAATGCAACAAATGCCAATTAAATCCGATTAGAATGTTCACGAACTAATTAGTTGAGCGAATGATTAGCTACTACGACGACGACAAGCACAGCGGGAGGAATTGAGCAAAGCATTTACGATTTCAATGTAGTTTCGAAGAGTCTCAAAGAGCTTATAGACGATTACAAAGAGAGAAGGAAGAGAGAGAGAGAGAGAGAGAAAACTAGATCGTTTTTCAACAGACAAACACAGTCTTCTCTGCTACCGTTCGCATTTTCGCCTTTTGGTGCTTCGTAAAATCGAGCAATCCGTTAGGAACAATTTGCACTTTCGATGGCAAAATATCGAAACAATGCCGACGAACGAAACTCCATTACGGCTTTTTATGGAAATAAATGGTAATGATGGTAAAATGTATACATGGGCATTAAATTTATTTGTTGTATTACTGCACAAATTACACGCAATTGTGTGCATTTTCATATCTCTGCGAGTGGATTGATTAAAGAGAATATTAAAAGTACTAATCGATTTTACTCGTGCCGATTACGCTATAAAGAGCGTTTACGAAATACCAACCAGTACGAAACACCTCGATCGCCGTATCTCGATTTTCATCTAGTCAAATTTCTCCGATTTTTTTTCAGAGTTTTTAGTTATTTTATGCAAGGCTGTGCAACTTAACGGCAATTGATATTGATGATAAAAAAATAAAAGGGTCAACACAACCAATAAAGAAAAAGTTTTTTGAATTTTGCCAATTTTCGGAAATCTGTGAAATGTGACGCGTCACAGTCAGAATTAGTGACGACAGAAAGAGTAAGATTTACGTTCGTAGAGTTCCGGCAATATAAGAAGTTATTCCGTATATCTTGCGAGATTTATCGTGACGACTATTTCTCGCGGGATACAAAGTTTCAGTAAAAGTTTTATCCGTCTCTGAATTCGAAAATTACGCCTGCATATCATAATCGCATCTTACCATTTCATTTCGCTAAATCAATTTCATTCGCGAATAATTAATATTATAAGTCAAGATGTTTTTCAAGCTTAATATATTTTACGTATATCAAACTTCAATTATTATTGCTTTCATCTTCCGAAAACGTTGGAAAATAATCATTAAAACTTATAGACTGTTAGATTTGGCTTCAAAATCGAAATTCGAATATTCAACTCTCGAATATTACAACATCCGAATATCGAATATTCTTGCCTCATTACGAATACTCGAAATTCGGATATCGGAAAGAGATTAATGCAATATATATCATTATAATTTAATGATGCTAAATAGATGCTACACACACATTATCACACGCATTAATTTAAAGTAATAATTTTGGTCTTATTTCTGGCTTACAATATCATCGGACATCGCGCCAAAAGCTATAAAAGGCGACTAAAATTCTTCATCGAGACACCGGTCGAATTTATATTTTATTACTAGCACGCGGAATCGGCCGCAAAAATTTTGTAACAGCTAAATTACTCCACCGGGAGAAATATTTCCATAGACCTCCTCCGTGCGCAGCGTTGCGAAATTTTCCGAGGACGCTCAAAAGCGAAAATAGCGTTCGTGCCGGAATTCGAACGTTGCGCCGCCAAACATACCGTATAAAAGCGTAAAAAGGGAGAAAAAAAAAACGAGCGAGGCGTTACATTAATTCGCATTTTTGGTGACGAACCCCGCGGTTTCGTTCGTTCCGAGTGACCTGCGTGATTTTTTCCTCCCATTTTTTTTTTATTTCGCCTTTGAAAATATTTTACTAAAAAAATGGACAGAACCGCCACTTTAGCACAGATTCCGATTACAATTTTAAAAAATATAATAAATAGCAAACGCCTACACGACCAATTGATTAACGTGCTTGTAGCATCCGTCGAAAAAATTGCTCGCTTCTCCTGTGAAGTAAAAAGTAGTGACATTTCAAACTCTCAATTAGCAACGCATTAAAACGCGCTCGCGCGCGTTGATCGGTAATCCATCTTTTTTTTTATATTTTACGGTAAGAAAGCAAAGTAGGTGCATTATCATCGATCACGTGGTTTTTTGCTCCATTTAACTCTTCCATAGTCGTACTAATGGATTAGAACCTCTTAGAAAGCTGATAGGGACTGAATTGAGTGGCAATTACATCATATATTACCGATCATTCAATCCGCATCGCAGCGATTTGCGCAATAATTTAGATTTGCATGAAAATCAAGATAGAAATGCATTTTGTAAAAATGTGGATCACACGGTATGTATTTTATTTTATACGTATTTTCTTTGACGCGGGTTTCATTCAACTGTATATTTGCCGATCATGATTAAGTTGAAAGAATACATACTGTGATCAACGTTCCTGTAAAACGGATATTTTATGATCACGTAATAAAATTCAGACTAACACATAAATAAACATATTATTTTCAAATTGTTTTTAATATGATGTCGAAACGTACACATGTACATACATACGCGTAAAAACATTCGCGAGTGCTTCATATCACTTATATGCTACAATCTCTCAGGGAAAAAACGAATGTGGAAAATGGATGTATGACTCTTTGTCATATATATACATATACTCTTCTCTGTCACATACTTTGAAAAATACGTACAAAAATCATTTTTCTCCTAATAGAAAATAAATGTTAAAAAATGAAAAAACATGTTTTATGAGAAAAAATATCACATTTTTTTAAATAAAAAAACATGTTTTTTTCATTTTTTGAATTGAATTAAAAATATAACAACTTTAGTTTTTTTATTATATACTAACAAAATATTATTTTTTGTTAGTATAATATAAAAACTAAATTTGTTATATTTTTAATTCAATTTTTTACAAAAGTAATTTTAAATAAATTTATAACATTTTTATTACGCATTTAATTAAAAATCCAAATTATATGAAGTATTTGACATCATTTTGATTAAATACAAATCTCGTTAATCTATTAAAAAAATGAATTAAAAATAAAGGAGAACTTTAAAACTTTTCTTATTACTATATTAAAATAGTGATTAAAGTACATCTTTTTAAAAATTATAAATTTTGTGTCTACGATAAAAAGACGATTTATTCAAATTCAATTGTGATTGATTCTTAGAGAATTTACCTAATTAAAAATAGTAATTACAAAATAGTAATTAGCTATAGATGATTGGAATGCGTTTAAAACAAATGGTGGTTTGTTCAAGTCTATCACTAATTTTTTTAGCTTTTCGTGTTGAAGATTGCTAGAAGTAGGAATTGTAATTGTGATTAAACTGGTAATTTCTAACTAATCTTGCAAAAGTGTCGTAATGAGTACGAAGAGTTGTAGTAATATTTCGAGTCTCTTTCTCTCTCTTTCTCCCCTTTCCTCTTCTTCCCCAAATTCGTTTACTGCGGCAGAAATAATCACTGCACGTTACAACGTGCTAAATAAATACGTTAAACTCATATAGTGAGTCGATAATTAGAACTCCCTGAGACAAACACAATAATTATCTGTAAATTTACATTATGATATAGATATATGCATTATATATTATAAACATGCATTATAGAGTTGCATTTTATAAATTTTCTTTGGTTTAATCAAAACTGGAAAATAAAAATTTACAAAAAAATTGCAAACATATCATATTTTTTAAATCCATTAATTATGCAATTAAAGTAATAATTATTTTCATTTTCGATTAAAAAAATTATAAAAAGAACACTATAAGGCAAAGTAACTAAAAGTAAAGAAAGTTAAACGGCGATTAAAATCGCGAAATTTTTAGTCTGAGAAATGAGAGTAGAAAGAGAAGAAGAAAAAAAGTAGAAAAGAAAAGATCTGGGAAATCTGAGAAGGAGAATTTATTGATAAATCTAAAGGCATCCAAAGTAAGCCTGATAGATATCCTGCCAAACACGGAAGTGATATATATCTGACAAACTAACATGGAAGATGCAGCGATATCCAATAAACTTCAAAATTGTTTGACAATTCGATTGTCATATATAGAAAGAGTAATAAAAGATATATCTCGTTCCTCTTATAAAACAATCGTGGAAACATTTGCGATCAAATATTTAAAAAAATATCTAGATGAAAGAATCATACATAAATCTAAAAAATTTATATACAATTTGTAATTACAGAAATTAAAAATTGAAAATTTAAATAAAAATATAAAAGTGAGAAATATAGTATTTAAACTTGTATTTTTTAATTATAATCTTATTTGTAATATTTAGTACATT